TGCAGTAGTTTATTGTTTCAAGTACACAGGCTACCATGTAAAGTGTGGAGTCTAAAAATTTGACAGCAAAATTCTGCTGACACTGAAGTCTGACAAAAGTTCCTTTGCCAAACTCTCTTTCACTTAGCACTTTGAGATTCCTCTAAGAATTGCTAGAAATTTGGCTTGCTCTGCATCCAGCCTTTGCTATCCCATCCTTATCTGTATGGGTCAGAAAAAGCATTCCATTTGATAGACTGATTTTTCTGGACAGTTCTGATCAAGACATTTGCCTAGCTCTTCCTCATAATGCAAATATTCTTTGTGCATTAATCGTGTACTTGCAGTAGTATTTTACCTGTCTTCTCCTATTCTTTCTTTGTCTTCTTAGATTGGCCTGTAAAATCTTAAAAAAAAAAAAAAAAAAAAAGGTAATTTTGGGGGGTTGTCTTCTTTCACCAACTGGAGAGTCCTCTGGGTAAGGTGAATCCCCACCAACACAAGGAGAGAGGAGGTTCTCCGACCACCATCTCCTCTAACAGCTGCAAAAAGGAAAAGAGAGAATGTCACTGATGGGTGAGGAGGAAGGGTATGGCTCAAAGTTAAAGGGGGATTAGGCAGGTGAGAAGGTGGGATCCTGATTCCCCATTAACAGAAGTCATTTTATCTATTATCACTGTGCTTCCTTCTGGAGCTGTCTGGACCTCCCTACTATCCTATGAGAGGCCAGGAACACCTGGTGTCCAGACATAGAAGCTTAAGCATTTTTGAAGGCATCAAGCATGGCAACAACAGGGAAACCATGAAGAGCTGTGCTAAGCAGAATCCTGGGCTAGTGTATGCCAGTACCTTTTTGAGTCCTACTCCCTTTCCCTGCAATTTACAGCTTCCCTCTGTGCTCAACATTGTGGCAAAGTGGGACTCCCCGCCTAGCCACAGTGCTAGGTTCCCCACTTGCCTTTGGGCATGCCCCCACCTGACTCTCCTGCCATTCCTTTAAGGTGTTAATTAAGGCAGGAGGCTGCCAATTTGTGCCCCAATGCTAGGGGGCACTATCTGCAGCTCTGTACCTCCCCTACACCGCAGCCCATGCCTCACAGGTGGCATCCAGATGCCAATATGCTCCTGGCCTACAGCCAGAACAAGTTTAGGCCTCATTGTTAAGCCTCAGACACACACACTCATACTGCCGTCCTCTCGCTAGGGCCTCACACACTCCACCTTCTCTTACAGGGTCTCTTTCTCTCATCAACAACTTATTCTGCCTTGCTCACTCTTGCAGCAGGCCCCTTAGGCCATAGGCTTAGCTAGTCCATTCCTCGGATGGCAGACGTACCATCTTTTGGGCCTCCCCCTTGACCCTCACTGGGGTAGTGGCCAGCCAATTACCCATCCAGGCCTAAGCTTGCTCTAGCCCCTTCCGGGGGCAACTCGTAATATATAGGAGAAGACCCAGAGGGCTGGGGGCCTAGTACATTTATATACATACATGTATAGACACACACATATATATACATACATATATAAACGTACTGGGCCCTCAGCCCTCTGGGTCCTCTCACCCTCCCTCAGGGCTCCTCCACACCTCTGCCCCCCTCCCTCAGGGGCACAGGGCTTCCCTTCTCAGTGGGCTCAGGTGGCCGCAGCTGTGCCTGGCTCCAACTCTCCCACCTCAGCGTCTTGCACCCCACAGGGCTCAAGTGGCCACAGCCATGCCTGGCCTCCCACTACCTCCAATGTTACCAGACCCACCGGAAGGTGAGGGCTAGGGTTAAGGTGCCCCTACCCGCCTTTCACCAGGGTGATAACTGGCCTGGCATTTCCTGGGGGCTCCCGTACCACTGGGAGCCCCACCAGGCCACCCACTCTCAGCAGGGTGCAGTTTTAGGTCATGCCCAGGACCAGGAGCCTCCTAGCCATCCCCTACAGTGCCTCCCTTACCTCCAGGATGTTATGGAGCCTTGCAGCCAGGAAACTGATCTGTTTATATAGGTGGCCAGAGATCTAAAATGGCCACCACAATCAAGTACCTGCTGGCTGCTTTGCTCTGGTCTTAAAGTGGCAGGCACCAACAGTGCCCTGCCACAAACATTGCCACTGCTTTTGAGAAGAATGTAAAAGGTGGCCTGCTGCCTCCAACAACTGGCCATTCTGCCCCAGCTTCCTGTTCCCTTTGCAGTGACCTTCCCCATCTCCCCAGCTGAGCCACCACAGCCCTGTTGTGTGTTCCAGTTGGAGACCCTGCTGCAGCCAGTTTTCAGGGCCCCTCCACGCACCCACTCACAGTGCTTTGTGTTCATATGGTAGCTGTCAGTAGCGTAACTAAGATAGGGTGAGGAGGGGGCCTGCTACAGGCACTGACTATGAGCGGGCACCAGGATCCCTTTCCACTGGGAGTCTTTGCCATGGTGGGGGAAGCCCTGGCCACAGGAGCTGGGCAGCAGTGCAGCAGTGAACTTAACAGTGTATCTGGGATTTAGGGGATGAGTGAAGGAAGCAGAATGGTGCTTCCCATCCCAACCCCAGATGCTCAATGAGTGCCCTACACCACCAGCAGCCGTGCCCCATTCAGAAAGGAATACTTTAAGACAGAGACATTTTGAAGGAGAACTAGGTGTTCTGTAATTCAGGTCCTAAGTACACTGTGCTTTGATCAAGCAATAATCCAGTTCATCAGTGTAAATTTGTTATGGGAACTGAATCTAACAAGATGCTTATCAGTGCAAATCCTAGATGTGTGTATATGACAGGAAAAAAAATCTCAAATTGTAGGAATGTACTGAAAAGTTCATTGAAGAATTAGTCACACTTGAAGTAAGACACATACTGCATACACAGTGCTCTTTAGGGTGGGGAGAGCCAGTCACGTATCCCAGTAAAATTTACATTATGTTTGAATACAGATGTAAATTATAGGAGACCAGGAACAGATAGACATATAGCTGCCCTAGGGTAATAATAAGCCCGATTACAGCACATCACTCAGCACCTATTACCCACATACTCAGAGGGGTGCTGAGTATACTGGTATAAAACATGGATATAAACATTATACATCTACACCCTGAACGAGGCACCAGCGCTATTAACTGCCATTAACTTCTTGGAAAGGAACATTACCAGCACATCAAATTTTCAGCACATCTAATCCGGGGGCACACAGATCCCAGGGGGCACATGGATTCCCTCCCACCGTTCATGAGTCCCCAGTCAAGGGAAGAGGCAGGAAGCAGTAGTTGGCTGCTCATCCCCTCCCTTCCCAGTCTGTGGGAGGAGAGGGGAGCAGTAAAGCAGTGCCCCAGCACCTTCTCCAAACCAAAGTGCCCCTGGTCTTGGGAAGGCTCAAGAGGCAATGGCAGGTCAACACCTCCATGATTGGAAGTAGTCCAGCTGCAAGGAAATGCACCCCCCACCTTCACCAGACCAGGTTCCCCTGGTCTGGGGAAGGCATAAGGAAACTGCTGCTCAACTCAAACCATCAAGCAAAAGCATACAGGTATTCATTTGTGTGAGAGAAACTCTCGCAGGGGAGATCTTTCCAGGTGTTAAGCTGGAGTTTAGGATAGAATCAGGCTCAATGTCCCAGCTCAGTCATTTTGGGAGTGTCTTGAATAGCTGAGTCTGGAACAATGTCTCTTTCTAAGTTCCCTCCAAACCCAGATGAGTTTGGATTGAGTGTTTTGGACCTGTTCTGTATTGTGCTGTGTTCTCTTCCATGGCTGCTTACTCCAGGCCTGCTCATAGCTAGACTTAAGTGTGGTGAAATGAAGAACAAATATTAAGCTTCATTAGTACATTTGGGATCTAGAAAGCTGAAAAGAATAACAGAGTAAATCCAGCTGCCTACATAAAGAATCCTCCTTATATTTACTGCATCCTAATTCTGTCTTTCTCCTACTTCAAGGCACTATATTTCCCATTTTTTGTCCACACATGCTACTGGCAGTGGAAACCTATATGAGGGGTTGGGTCCAAGTTCATTAAAAATGATGTATTCATTTTTTCTTAACTCAAGAAGCATGGGAGCTGTGGCACTAGGTGCAATATTTTAGGTAGTACCTTTATTCTTTTTTCCCATAGAAATTAAATGCATACAATAAATAAGGTTTATGGTTGTTTCCATGTCCATGACATTGCCCGCTGTGATAGTTAATATAAACATTTCCATCCCCTGCCCCCGATATTTTGTGGCTTGCATTTCTGTTATGTTGCTGCTGCATATTTTACTTGATGCCTCAGTCAAATACCGTGTGATTACTCCTGGCTGTTTAAACCATTTTTTCTTTGCATGATAGATTTGTAATACTTCTCACAAACAATGGGTGGGAGGAGAGAAACACACAATATTTAAGAGATATGATTGCTTGGCAATTATGTGTGTTGACCATATTTTACTTTAATTTTTCAAGTGGCTAAGTATAAACAGATGCTGCTTTTCCACCCCCTGTAATGACATGTTATATTGCCTTGTTTTTGAAAGTGGATTTATCACTTTTTGTATGGCTGACTTGTAACAGAATATTAGTGGACCATAGTAATGGCTCTTGGATACCCTATCTTAGCTGCAGACATTTTTTAATAAGTTCTGCAGTGTTCTCTCTAGCCATGTTGAAGCTTCTGATTCATTCCCTGAAATAAGTCTAGACAGCTTATCCCGAACTTATTGCTCTGCAAATCAGGTTAGAAGTCTTGTGAGCATTCATAACAGATCTGAGGTTTCCTAGATTCTGTTGCTTCAGGAATTCCTGGTCACAGTGCTTCAGCTCTGTTGTTTCTCATCCAGCTGAAACCAGAAACCAATTAATGAAAATTAAAGGGTAGGAGCCACTGATTTCATTTGTCTCCCAACACCTCCAAACTTCAGATCATTTTGAGACTCAAGTAAAAGCTTGCCTCTCATTTTATTGATCCTGATTCATGTGTCCCTTGTGGGACCAATGAGAATATTTGAATGTGAGCCAAAGAAGAACTTGTACCTGTGTAAAAAACTCTTGTGGTTTGAATGAATGCCTCTCTTTCAGGGCATCCCAGAAGACTTGCTGTTCTTTTATAAACATGTCCAAAAAGGCGGCGGAGTCTTTCGAGTGGACCAGTGCCTCCTCCTGTATCGCTACCATCCCCAGGCTGCAACTCATTCTGTCCTAGAGTAAGACATGTTGTTATAATACAATCAAAGCCATTTGGTGTTGGGATGCCATGAGGGGAGGTATTTCATCTTTCTCAACTGTCAGTGGTCAAGAATGTGAATTTTTACCAAAAGAATGAAATGACACTTGTTTCCCTTAGCACATGTGAGTGAACAGAGTGATAAAGTGAATAGCTGTAGTCATGCCTCAGTGTTATAAAAATGTGGAGAGCATAACACAACTTGCTGGTAACATACTGGAAGAAACAAGATGCTTCTCTCACTTTTTTTCTTTTTTTACCATCGTCCTACTTTGAGGAGAGCAGTGGGGTGGTAATGTTGAGGCTGTGGGTATCTCTTCCACTCATTTACCGCACCAGGAAGAGCCATGCTGAGATACTGTGCTTGCTACCCACTGGACTGTAAGTAGGGTAGCTGTTTTAATTCAGCACTGTTCACATACTAATAAGGTCTGCAGCACCTTGCTAAGACAACGATGTTACTTGCTGTTCAGGTGATAGTACATGCATAAGCAGACATGGCCTGTCTTAGGCACAGTAACTGAGCTGCATAGACATACCCTGCAAAACAGGTAACTTGGACAACTTTAGTCTGAATCTTCTCACTTATTCACTGTGTATCCTTGCCCAAATTACTTAATCTGTTTGTCTCAGTTTAACTATATGAAAAATGGGGAGAATTGTAACTAAACAATAGAAATCCTAATTGTTTTGTCTTTGTAAAGTACTTTACAAAAGTACACATGGTACAAAAGTACACATGGTGCTTACTGAGATTCTCTGACAATAGGTACCATGTATAAATGCAAACTGTTATAGCAATGGGACACCCGTTACTGACCTTTGAGGACCCGGGTTATTGTATTCTTTTTTTACAGTGGTCTTCCTCTGTGAAAAGAAATTTTGTAAAACTGCTATTCCCTTGGTATGCTCATTTTGCCCTTTAAAAGCTGCGTCTCCCACTTGTTAGTTCTGCAGGGTCAGCATGAGTTACAGGAATAAACTAGGTTACTTCTTTCCCTTTTCTTTGTTTGCTAATAAATGGTTATCTGACTAAATGATTTCCTTAGTGACACCTCTTCCTTCACTGTCACTGCAGTGAGGACCTTCAGTAAAGTATTTTATTGTTAATACATGAGACAATGAGGTTTTCATTGGGTGCATCTACATATGTGCTTTACTGGGGAGTTGACTAATTAGCTCTACAGTTAAGCATCACGGTCTACACATGCGCTTGAATTAGGGCGCAGTAAATTAATTAACTGGACCATAGGATAGTACTGCCTGGGACAAGTACTCTCCTATAGCAGCGTAATTATATATGCTCAAATGCATGTGTAGACTGAGTGGGGCTGTTTGGGGCATGAAGGTGCTACAGTGTGGGGGCTCCCTGCTGCCTAGCTCTGCACTGTAGCACCCTTGTGACCTAGCTAGTCCTTCTGCCACCGCCTGGAGCCTGGGGCTGACCCCCCAGATCCCCTGCTGGCTCAGGGCTGCTCCACCCTGGCTTTAAATGCTACAGTCTCGGGTGCACGTGAAGATGCTACACTCAGGAGCAGCTAACTCTGGTGCGAACTGCACCAGAGTTTATTGCTACATGCTAAGTGCATGTGTAGATGCACCCATTCAGTCAGTCTTAGCTGTGTAGGCTATTCAGGAATAATTAGTAAAACCAAAACCATGTTTTTGCGTGTGTATATTAATTGGATGGTATGTAGGCTCATGTCTCATGCTATTATAGACTTTAATATAAATAATAAACTGTGAAATATTAAAACAGATAAAAACATTACTTGCCTTTTCTAGGCAAATCTAGGTCAGGTAACTATAAGAAGGAAATCATTCTTTAAAGGGTGCTTTTTCCTGTTGTGTGTTGTGACCATTTTGGCAGTTGTTTACTAACTTGAGCCATGCACCGTGGGATGCTAAAACTCTTGGAAGATGGCTGCTTGTTTCTGTGGGAAAACATCTCATTCTTGGAAATGAGCTTGTTCTGAATGTATTGCAAGCTGTTGCTTATTCAGATGTGCAAGGTTGTGTGGCACAGGCATCCTGGATTACAGCATTCACTTAGAATGTGGAAATGCTCTAAACTGTTTCAGATGTGCAGTTTGGGTATCCAAATTGGCATCTTTCTTGTCTGATTTTCAGCAGTCTGGCTTGCCGTTCTTCCCGTTGGCTCTTTTTTCATTATTCTTCTTGTTGATTTGTGTGAGTTTTTTAACATGAGGTTGAGTAATAACTTTGTTTCTGGGACTGTTAGCCTCTCTTGTGCCTAAATTGTACGTGATTTTAGCCATTGCTTGATACTGATGAGCTCAAGTCATGTTCTTGTGAAAAAGGTGAAAATTAGAAGTTCATTGGATCTCTGACCTTATAGGATCTTATTAATGAGGATCTTAACAACTTCTTCACACTCTCTACCAGCTCATTTAGTACAGTTCTGTTCCATTTCTTTTAAAAGCCCTTTTTTGAGCCAAGTGATTTCCTCAAACAGTATTGCACATCTCTCCATCCATTTATAATGATCAAAGTAATTAATTAACAGTATAAAATTTGTGTCACAGAAATAATGCCTATGAATTCTCTGGGTGGGCATGAATTGCCATGAAACACAAATACTTCGGTCTCTCCAAAACCAAAAAATAGTTGTGAGAGTTGATATATTATATAAATAATAAAAAACATGTTTCCCTTTAGACTCACACTTCAAAATGAAGAAATGCATCTTGATAAGATAAAAAATATGGTTTGTTTGTATTAAGGTGTGTCACCTAATCTTTCAACAAAGTTAGCAATCAATTAGCATTTGAGTGGGCTTATCAGAATGTATGAGAGCCTTTTACACCCTCCAGGGAAAAAAGACAACATAAATGTAATTTTGCAACTCACAACTTGTTAGCAAAAAAACCTCCAACTGATTGGCTAATAGCAGTTAGTTCTTTTTATTTGATGATGCATAAAGGTAGTCATTAATGGTTTTCTGGTCTTTTCCCATGATTGTAGAATAAATGACTGGAGGGTAGATGTATCTGTGAAGTTGAGAAAAAGTTTACTCCCAGCCTCCTGTATGCTAGAGGCATCAGAGTATGTTATTAAGTATTTTGGGCATGTGACGTTGGAATCCAAGTGAAGCAGAGTATAACTTTGTATTAGAAGTCTTGTTCTCATGACACCGACAACTGAAAGACACAACAAATGTAAATTCTGTGAATGAGCTGTAACATAGTTTTCTCAAAGCAGTTCTTCAGTTTTTTGGTAGAATTTAATAACTAAAATTCTGTAAAATCTTATGTGCTGGATCTCGGAGATACAGACAGTTTTAGCTTACATTGCAGCTTATATGTTTGAGCTATGTATACGTTGTGATACAAAACCAGGATTGACTAATCTAATGCAATATGAGAGGTAGCTTTATAATAAGAAACATAAAAATCATAGCTTTTATCTTGCTAAGGGGAAGAAAATTAATTATCCATAAAACAACTTAATTTTGTAATAAAATCAGTTTAGTAAAAGATAGAAGAAATCAAAGGCGACAATTGGCCTTTTATGCAGTTTTGCATGCACATACTATATTTGGTGGGGGTGGCTAGTTGTATTTTTTTTTTACTTAAAATTTTTCCATTTTTTTGGTCAAAACAAATTTCACAAATGAAAACTCTTTTTTTCCAACAAAAATGACAAAATTCTATTCTGGAAAAAAATTGAATGTATTTATATATTCCTGTGAGGTAACATTTTTCCATTTGGTGGCAAAAGCAATGTTAACTATTTGTGAAAAAAATATCCCAAAAACTTGAAGCATATCTTCCAAAAATGTAACTTGGACTTTTAATAAATATTATTTCCTTTGAGTATTACTTTTTTGTCAGAGTTTCTGAAGAAGCAGGGTTGGGTTTTGTAATACAGAGACATGCATTAAAGCCCAAAACAAATGGAGTGGTTGTTCCTGGTATTCTGCATGTGAAGAATGGGCTTAGCTTTATAGTTCTAATTCTGCACCCTTGAAAAACAATAAGTAGATATAATTTACATGACCTACCAAAGTAGGGGTTTCAAAGATACAGCCTGTGGAGCCCTATCATCCAGCCCATGATGGGTACTGCCTGTAGGTCTCAGACTGGCCCCATGGGCTGCATGTGGCAGATACCTTTCTCAGCCCCATACACTGTATGTGGCACTTGGAGTCAGTCTGGTGTGCACTGCATGTGGCATGCAATACTGTTTTGGGGCACACAGTACACAAACGGTGTGGAGCCAGTCCAGGGTGTAGACTATGCAATGCCCATGTCAGACTGGTCCTGCGCAGTGGATCTGGAACACAGAGCTAGTCTGGCACACAGAGTGGCCCCACATCCCTCATTCGGCCTGTGGGACTCAATGTGTTTGATATCCCTGTACTAAAGTAATCCGGTTTCAGGTGCCATAGATTTGCTGTGCTTTCCAAGAAAAGGAAGAGAGTATTCAGTATGTACCATGCATGGTTAGTTTCTTGAGTGGTTTTCCTGAGCAAGGGGCCTCATTTCAGCGATGGTCACAGGTTTGGTTACCTCATTTCCCTCGTCACTATATTCACTGTAAAATAAACACAAAGAAAAGCAGAATATATTTTTGTAGAACTGAAAGAAAGATGAGGTCAATTATGTTTTTAATTTTCACTTCCATTTCTGCATTTGGCAATTTAATTGCCATCGGAACTAATGACCTCATTACGGTCTTTAAAAGCAAATGACATTAACGTTTGATGGTCTGTGTCTTTGCTTAATAAGCCTTTCATGAAAAAGAGGCCACAATACAAATTCTGCCTCAGTCAGTGACCCATGACCTGAAGATGAACTTGGACCGTAATAGAACCTATTAACAGTACAAATGTAGTAACTCGATGGAACATTAGAGTCCAGCAATTAAATGAAGTTCAAGTGAAGTTCAACGGCACAACACAGAAACAACCAGTTCACCCACCAGTATGTCTGTAATATTCAACTGAGAATGGGCTTGATCTGGAAGGTTCAGATCTAGTTCTAAATTTCCCCCAAAAGAGTTGCTGTGAGGGATCTTGGACCCTGAGTTCAAGGTTAAGTCAGTTGAGATTCACCTCTAATGTAAGCCCCTCTGAATCTCTCCTGTGTAAAAAGTCACAGGATGCAAACTCACACCTGAATAACTCTGTCTTCTGAAGATCAGTTTTATTGGATCCTTGATACATGGCAAGACCAATGGATGTACAGATGTACTTAGACTGATGGTGCTACAGGAGCCAGACATACAGCGGTACTATTTTTGCTTCCTTACAGGTATCAGGCCAAACTAGCATAAGGCTCGTAGTTTTTGTCTCTTCGAAGCACTTGCAGTGCATGTTGTTTTTTTGCTCCGTTGAGACACTTGCATGACCTCATCCTTTGAAGGTCAAACAATATGGAAGAGAAATTAACACTGCACAGAGAAGCATTTAATCATATGGCTTTTATTATCATGCAGCCTGTCACTTCAAAATAGGAAGATGCTGTATCGAGCAGATGTTCCCTGACTCCTGCATTCATCCAGTGGGTCACTGTACATTTTAACACAGAGCTTTATTGTTGAATTATTTGTATGGCTGGCATGGTAAGAGCTACTTAGGGGAGGACGAACATATTTTATACTTATATGTACCCTCTACATGAATGACCCCACTTCGCTCCAGCAAAATTTTGGCTTCTCTTCTTCTCTGCACAAGCATCTAATGCCTACTGAAAGGCCAGGGCAAGAGATGTCTTGGGAAGATTATGAAAGAAAGAGGAGTAATTCTCCAAACTGAAAAATGTACACTACTAACATTTTTTCTGTGAAATAAGAAAGTGACTAGAATATAAAGAAAACAGAAATAAAATACAGTCCACAAATTTGCCTCAAGCTGACTAGCTTGAATTCAGAGCTGAACTTCTACAAGGTTCCAGGGGTATTTTGATCCAGACTTTTGGTTGAGACCCATCTCTTATAAATTGAGCACAAGCTCGGAAATGCAACTCAATGCCACTGGGAAAGCACTATCTATCTAGCTAGTGCAGCTTAATCCTTTCCTTCACGGGTGTAGAACAGGCAGCCATGATTTGGCAGTCACTGAGCATAATGATACCTTCCAGTTTTTGCTGGTGGCTATGAACATGTAATGCAAAGCCTGAAAATAACTGTGAGAGAATCTTTTGTGGGAGGTGGTTTGTACAACTAAAACAACTTCTCCTAGTTTCATGTATTTCAGGTATTTCTTTAATTGCTCTTTGCAAGTTGCTACAGTTCCCTTCTGTTGCACCTGCACTGGCTCTTGAAGGCTGGGAAAATGGCATTCCCTTATTCCCCAAGGCAGGAATCCCAACTACTTGTTCTGGGAACATCCCAATATAGGAGCCAAGCTAGGTGAACCGGAAACCTGAAGGGGATAACTGAAATTATCTAGCTTTTGACACTCCTTAAGCTACATCTTGCTCAAGTGGATGAGATGCATTGTCTGTTCAGTGCAGGCTTTCATGAAAGCCAACTCTGCATTCATCACTTTAATTAAACGTTAGTCTCACATTTCTCTTCCACCAACTCATACCCCCTTGATGTTTATCCATATGACAACCTGAGGCTGTTTAAAAAAAAAAAAAAGAAAAAGAAAAAAAAAAGAATTCCAAGGTTATGCTTCACAGTGCATGTAGCCCCATTTTGTAGAAATAGGCAAATCTGACACTTTCCTATTTGTGTTTTTTGCTGTGGAGCAGTGCATCTATGCAGAAAAGATGGTCATTAATCGTTCATCTTCAAAGACGCCTGAATAATGATCTCTCATAAACTATGATGTCAGCAAAGGAGATCAAAAGTTTTATATGTATTCATTTCATGTTCACAGCCCAAAATACTCATTAGGAAAAAAATGGTATTGACCATTTACTGAAGAAATTTTCTCATGGCCGTATAATAATCCCATTAATTTGAAATCTAATGCACTTGGGATCTCCTAAATTGAATATTGATGCCATTCGTATACTTCAGACTTTAATTAATTATTGCTGGTGCAGTGTGCTACTTGATGGGGCTCCTCCATCCAGGAAGATACCATTGAATAGGTACAGGGATTCCCCAAAACAGGGGAACTCTGCACAGTAAAGATCACTACTTTCTGGATTCCCTGATCCTGTTGGTCCCTTAAGCCTCAGTCTTTCCATAGTCTCCCTGTACTCCCTGTCTAACCTGCCACTTTCCTTCACATTGTCAAAATTTGCCTTCTGTCCTTTCTTCTCCTTTTTCCTTCATTCAGTAAAACCCCTATACCAGAGGTGGACAAAATACAGCCCGCAGTCCATATCTGGCCTGCCAGGCCATTCTGTGTGGCCTGCAGAGCCCCTCCAAAAATCAATTACCATGGCTGCCCCTTTCAAAGCCAACAGGAGGTGAGCTTTCAGAAGCCACATGCCATTTGACCGGGTGGGCTCTGTGCATCCACCTCAATGGAGCTCCCAACACACCATATGGGAGCCCCAGGTGGAGGCACCAAGTGCGATGATGACTGGACAGATGATGAGTGGGGATGGGACCTCTTGCCTGCAGGAGTGTAGGATGGGTGTGGGGTTTGTGGGTGGGTGTGGGTGGGTGTGGGCCTCCCAGCCACAGTGCACAGCCCTCACTGCTTGCTGCAGCACTAGCAGTGGGTGCTGGGCCCTTGGGCACTCCTGGCCTGCTGCAGGCAGAGCCCACCAGCTGCATCCCGGGAACTGCATGTAGAGGCATGGAGCCTGCCTGGCCCAGCACACTGGCATGCACCTTCAACCCAAACCAGGCTGACTCCATGCCAGCACATAGGGATCCTGGCACTGCTGGCAGGAACTGTGTGCCATCAGGTAGGGCCAGTCTGACTCCATGCCTCCACATGGGGCTTCCAGCATTCCAATGGAGAGCTGCATGTAGTAGCACAGAGCTTGCATGGGCCGATGGCACATGATTTCCCACAGTTCCTAGTCCATGCACCATCAGGCCAGGTGGGCTCCATGCCTCTGCATGTGTCTTCCTACTGGAGTACTGGAAGCCCCATGTGGAGGCATGGAGTTGGTCTGTCCCAGTGATGTGCAGATCCTACCTGCCATGCTGGGAGCCCCACATGCTGGCACAGAGCCAGACTGGTCTGGTTCAAAGGCACGCATCAGCAACCTGAGCCAGCTGGGCTCCATGCCACCATGTGCAGCTCCCAGGATTCAGCCAGAACTGCGTGCCGTTGGGGGGCTCTGCCTGCCATGGGCCAGGAGTGCCCCAAAGGCCTGCCTCCTGCTGCTGCTGCTGCTGGCAGCAAAGGCTGTGTGCCACGTAGGGAACATGTAGTGAGACTGCCCATACTGACCCACAAACCCCACACCCACCTACACACACATCCACACCCTTCAAATTTTGTGATTTCATTACATACTCCCCTTTCCAGGTCACTGATGAGAATGTTGAACAAAACTGGATCCTTGGGCAACACACTGTTGACCTTCCTCCATCTGAAAAGTGACCATTTATCCCTACCTTTTGAGCACGTCTACGTGTGACGCTACATTGCCGTAGCAATGCGTTATGGTGATGTAACATCCATGGGTGTCTACATATGACCAGCAGCTACTTCACCGTAGCGGTGCGCTCCCCCATTATAGCACAGTGCTACAGCAAAGTAGCTGCTAAAAATAACC